GCTGTTGCGCTTCAAGCGAATTACGTGGAGGGGATTATATCGCTTCTGTTCGTTATTCTCTATGATCTCCTGCTCAGCAGTTGACGCTGGTATTCCTCTGATAACAGCGTGAATATTACGCTCAGAGGACAGGAGAAATGTATGGTGAGGAACATTTTCCTCTTTGAAAAGACGAATTATCTTCCAATAATCGTCTTCGCTTTTAGGTACGATACGTTTCCCAGCATCAACAGCTACTGCACGATCAATCTTAATACCAAGACTGATAAAAGAGTAGATGATAGTGCACCACTGCTGCATCCCGCAACACAACAGGTGTAACTCGCCCCTGACTGGGTTATTGTGCCTGCCTTAAATCACGGAGAAGCAGTGTTGCTGGCAAGCCATGTGAGATTGAAATAGAGTTGCGACTGTTGTTTATCTCAGTGGCGGATTTAGAGGGGGGCGCGGGGGGCATACTAACTATAAGTTATAGCCATAGGAACTGAGCATTGCGATTTTTGGTATCCTTTGGTATTCCAAACGCTGTCCCTCTTCGACATCACTTACGTTTACAGGACAATTCTTACGATTTATACGTATATGTATACGAGTATTGTGACTTGTGACAAATCTAAGTCTGAGCAATATATTAGCTATGCAGATTGCACTTAAAAAATGGTTTATGTTCAATAGTAATTTGATAAGTGTGTAAAGCTTGACTGATTTTGTTCGGGGTTGGTGATGCAGCGAAGCACTATTAGTCTAATCATGTTAGACGAAAATACCTCTGGTTTGCGAAATAATCCTAAAGTCTGGTTTTATTGCTGCAAGTGGCTCAAGGGGTATTCAAAACATGGACGCATAAAATGGGTACACCAACTTTTGTGGGAAAACTTTTTATTCGACAACAAAGAATGAGAAAACGTGTTTTTTGCGATTCAGTATAAATAATTGGCAGGCACGAAAAAACTCTCCTTTTTATGTAAGATTTTTAAGTATTTATGAGACCTAATAAATGATACCACACGTAAAAAGATCCGACTAATAGCAAAAAAGTTATCGCCGAAAATCGAGGCAAACTGCAGGTCTTGCCACGTGTTGGTAATGCGACGACGGTTTCTCGCAGATATTTGTAATTCTTCAAATTCGTAGGATTGGTACTCCTAAAAACCACAACAAAATTGGAGTAGATTGGTCAAGTACTTTATGGGAATTTCTAATTGTTTATCAAAAGACGTCTGTTTTCCGGCCATCACTACTAGTTTTTTTGAGCAATATACATGGGTTAGTTCAAAGGGCATTTTATAGCAAAATACACTAGTTTACCTTGCCGATATGAATCGAAAACTATTCCGGAAGATAAATGTTATTTTTATGCAAAAAAAGGATGGGTTACGTTTTTCTTCTAAACAAATTCAAACATTTCGTATTTGTGAGTAAATCGCAACAAAAGATGATAGACACATCCGCTTTGTTTTAAAATGTGTATAGTAACGTATGTATTTCGAATATCGTAGCGCATTTGCTCAATTACTCACAAATACGAAATGTTTAAATTTGCTTTGAAGAAAAAAACGTAACCTTTGTTTTTCGCATAAAAATTAAATTAAATTAAAATATATGAAATGAAATTAAATTAGTGTATTTTGCTGTAAAATGCTCTTGGAACTAATCCTCTATATAGCTCAATAAACTAGTAGTGATGTCCGGAAAACAGGTGTTTTGGGATAAACAATTAGAAATTCTCAAAAAACTACTTGACCATTCTACTCCAATTTTGCTGTTGTTATTCAGAAGTATGAATCCTGCGGATTTGAAGAATTTCAAGCAGTTGCGTAAAATTATCGTCGCATCACCAACAAGTGCCAAAACCTGCATTTTTCCTGGTTTTTCGGTCATAACATTTTTGCTATTAGTCGGATCTTTTCACGTGTGGTTTCATTGTGTAGGTCTCACAAATACCTAAAAATCTTATATAAGAAGTTTTTTCGTTCATGTCAACACTTTCGATTGAATCCCCAAAAACACGTTTTCTCATTCTTTGTTGTCAAGTAAAAAGTTTTCCCACAAAAATTGGTGTAACCATTTTATGCGCCCTTGAACAACTTGCACCAATAAAACTGGACTTTGCAACTATTTCTGGGATATTTGCTAATATGATTAGACTATATGTTAGATGAACGCCTACATTGGAAATATAGATTTATGAGATTTGCTTAGCGGTGCGCCAGTAGCCTGTCCAGAAAATGCGTCGATCGATGCTCAAGTCAATACCACACGTTCCGCATTTCTTCCCGCGTATGTTTCTATTTATGTTGCTATATTGGAATTCGTTTAAGTCCCAGAGCTTCTGCACTATACGTGAATATGTACAACCCTGTATTCCTGTTTTTGTTTCGTACAAACATACATTATCAAAATAATTACGATCTAACATATATAGTTTTTTCCGAAGATTTCCAACATTTTTACATGCGATCAACACCGATTCGAAAACTGAAAAAACAACAACTATGCCATAAATCTAAGTTCGACAACGAAAGTCTGAAGAATAACTGTAACATCTATATTGAATTTCAAAAAATAATTGACTATACCTATTGATATTTTTATCCCTTGCTGATATAATAGAAGGGCTTGATTGTGTCAGTATTTACACCAATTACTTGATTTGTTTAACGGGTAGTTCAGAGTATTAATCCTTAAGCTTAGTATACACTAGTAGACCCCGTTGCGCAATTTGTCTATAGTCAGTCTGGAGACGGTCTCAAGACACGATCTGTAGATGGTCTATAGGCATCCTTCTTTGTATCGTCTAGCGTCCATACGATAATGTGGATTTTTCGGTTTCATGTTCGTTTTCGCCATCAAAGACATTGTTTTGTGTGGAATGGCTGGGATATGTCTCGGTGTCCCTCAAAATGTCTTTTTTGGTTAACAGAGCTATGAAGTTTTTAATATTTGATTCTTTAATATTATTACACTAGTTAATTCTAAATGCCACGTAATTCTCTTGTTCTCATATAATAAAATATTGCTTTTCTGAGGATTTCTGAGCACTTTCCATATTTTTTTTTTCAAGTTGGCATTGAACAGATAGAACACAATGGATTTAAGGAGCAATAATAGGATAAATTCTAGAAGTTCCACTGAGGTAGAAAAACTACCAGCCCCAAATATCGTTTTCGCCCCTCCCCTAGACGAAATCCTGAATCCGCCCTTGTTTAAGCTAGTGCTTGCATTTGAGAGTGCTTTGACTGGCTTGCAGAATAAGCAGAAAGAAACAGACACAGACGGTGTTATATCAGAAAAAGTATGTTATGTCAAAAAACGACCTGTCACTTTTCAAGATACGTAATACTTACCCGCACAACGTGCCATGAACATATCGCAAACGTGGAAGGAAACGGCAGTCCATAGGTGCATAGTGAGAATTTGTGTGCTAATAATGTGTTGATGATAATTCCATTGGTTTCTTGTGTCAAATACACTTACTTGAGATTCAAAGCTAGAAATTATTTGCGCATCCACTTTTTCCTATTCATTCTGGAAATTACATAAGAAAATTTGCTGAATTTAAAAAATGAGACAGATAAGAAAAAAATCCCTGGTTGGTGAAGTAACAGGTCAAAAAGTACGCTACAGTCAGGAATATTTATGAAAGGGAAAAGGTTATTACATTATTTGTTATTTCCAATCATTTAAATTTAATAGAAATTTATTTTAATATGTCGATAGAAAATGCAAATCAGCGTCTAGATGCACAGTCTAGATGTGATGTTCTGCGAACGTGTTTGAAGTGTGATGCGTCATTCCTAATTTTTCTGTGGTGTATCTTAATTACACACAACGCGGGCGCGGTGGTGATTTCCAGTAATGGTTCTCAAATTTTTTGAAAACGCAAAAAACGGGAAAAATCGTAATTTATAACTTTGAAAGGACAACATATAAATAACCCGTCGGGAACAGCTAATATATATACTTCATTGAAAGCATATTTAGTTATAATTTTCTCACAAAGAGAATATCATTGATTTTATACACATATCCAGATGCGATCTTGCTATTCAACCAACATTCTTTCTTTCACATCGTCTTAAGGGATAAACACCACAGACCACTCGGATTCACAAAACATATACTTGATTTCTGCAACCAAGAATGGGTTTAGTTGAGTCCTTCGTCCATAGATGGACGCTCACAGCGATCATAACAAGCAAACCTGAAATTAATTATTTGCACCATATAAACTATTTAGTATGTAAGACGACATTTCGTTTTTTTTTTGACGTTTTATAGGTGCGTCAATAAGTGCTTGACTACCGTGTAAACATAACACTGCTATAGTAAAAATGTCCGACTCGATTAGAAATACATCAGCAGATCGAATACAGGGCGTGGAATACCGATCACATGGCCATTGATTAGTACTGGGAAAGATAGTGCTCCTTGGATAAATTGACATCGACATGAAACTGTCCAATAAAATAAAAGGATGTTTATCGGGATGGTCACTTGATCTTTAAGCCTTGCCTCTTTTTCTACTAAGGCAGTAGTGAAGCGCCCTATTCCCTAATATACCTTAGTAAAATCAAACAGTTAAGCCAACTGGCTAGACACCTAATCGTTCAATCACGTTCACATATTCCTATCCTATCCTATCTAACCTCCTGGTTAAACTGAGCAAGGGGTATGAAGCCAATCCTGTTGGTGTGGCTCTCGGAAATCTACTGGGCCTAGAACATGGCACAGAGCGTCTGCATATTGAAAAATGTCAACATAACCTGCCTCAATCTCCATTCATGTTTTGCCGTGCCTTGTAGGTTTATTAGTTCCTGGTTTATTAATATTATCCAATATTTCTGCTTGTCAAAATTAGAGTTATTTACACACACACACACACATGCCCTATGCGCAGCATTTAAAATTCGTTTGCTGCGCAGTGTATCAATTAATTTCATTGACGTCATTTTTGGCTTCACTCCATGAGTTCAACCACAGTTCAACCCAAGTTTAACCTACTCTCTAGTCTTCATGATCACGCCCCATTTTCGCCATTCGCCAATCAAGTACACCTGACACCTGACATATGACATTGTCATTTGTAAGAATTGTAAGTGAGATTCCATTATTTGTATGTATTTGTGGTATTTCTGTGATTTGTATTTAATAGGATTGTTCAGTGTATATGTTTTGTGGTGCACACGATCATTATTCTTTAAAGATAAGTGTTTTTGAAAAAAAAATCATATACAGTCGCAATGAGTGCTGCTGACGTCCTAAAAAGATGTAAGTAACTGGTTATAAAATCATTTCATAGCCAACCTATGCTTATATTATGTTTCTTAATAATTGCTTTTTTAGCTCCCCAAATGGAAGCTGGCTCAGAACCTTCGGCTCCTATTACTAAAAAGGGCATTCTGACTTCCTTCCTAACGGGAAAACCCATGAACATACCGGAAACTGACATCGTAAGTCCAAAGAATGAATTTGAATTCCGAAAACATAACCTTATCTTTTTTAGCTTGGACGATGCAGGTTCGTTTCAGAGTTCGAGAAGCTCAATAGAATCGGAGAAGGCACATATGGGATTGTTTGTAAGTTAAGCAACATCATATACTATATTGCACACTAAAAATGTCAATGATCCTGGGGTACATGTTCAAAACTCTTGTACGACTTGACTCTTTACAACATTCACTAGAAATTTTCAAGTGCATTTCAGTCCACTATAATTCGTAAAATCAGTCAAGTGTGCACAGTGCAAGTGCAAATTGCATCGTAATAGTGGTTGTAATTGAAAAAGAGCTCTATTGATTAATAATCAGTACCCAACAAAATGTTGCCCAGCTAGTGCTGAGAATAGTTTTCACATTGATACCAACAACCAGCTCATCAAAGCCATAAATACACAGTACAAAAAATATGCACTGACCCATGCAAATTATAGAGGCTAAGTGCAATCCTAATCAGATTGTGGTAGAGTCTATTGACTATTAATTGCTCTTAGGAACTATTTATTTTAATTCCTAATGTGTTATATACCAATTTTTCTTCCCTTTTTGACTTGTCACTAAAGGTTGTAGTATCTATCAATCTAAGAAGCTGATTAAATATATAACTAAATATTGTTATTAGCCTTAAATTATTGAATGAACCATACATTCTCCTTGACAGACAAAACAAAACTGTGCCCTGTGGATGCTCTATATAGTACAACATACACATGTGAGACTTTGTACTCTTAAATATATGTAGATAATAATATGTGAAATACTTCAAATTATGGTTACACTATAAATGATTTATTTATTTTGATTTTTAGACCGTGCAAAGGATACCACATCTGACAAAATTGTAGCCTTAAAGAAAGTTAGAATGGATCTAGAGAGAGATGGTATACCTGTCAGCAGCTTAAGAGAAATACAAGTATTGTTGAATTGCAGACATGAGAACATTGTGCACTTGAAAGAGGTTGTAGTCGGAAGAAGCCTAGAGAGGTAAATTAGATATCATCAAATAACTTTGCACCCAAAATTCAATACTGCCCTAACAGTGAAATCCTGACATTGTCATGTGTGCAAGAGAGAAGTACGAGTAGCATGCCATATGTGTATTAGAGAGAGATATTAGTACCTCATTGCCTAGCAAGACAAGTGACCAGGCCACAGATGCAGCTTGCCACATTGGCATCTATGCAACCTTTCTAACATACATATAGCTCTCTTCTCTCTTGTACACATTATGACGTCAGCCAAATTTGAACCTTGCCCAATGATTATATATATCATCCTCACTGTATTACATAAATATAATCATGTTGACTCGTAATATATTTATATTTCATATTTTGCAGCATATTTCTAGCGATGGAATACTGTGAACAAGATCTTGCCTCACTACTGGACAATATGCAAGCTCCTTTCACAGAATCACAAGTCAAGTGCATCATGCTGCAAGTATTAAGAGGACTTAGGTACCTTCATCACAATTTCATTGTTCATAGGGATCTTAAGGTGTCAAATCTTCTTATGACAGACAAAGGTAAGGAACTCTGGTCAAAAAAAGAAGTGTTGACTTTGAAACTGGGTAAAAGGACAATGTATTTTACTGGTGAGGAAGTATTGTATTCTTGGCATGTCTGGAAATTGAAGTACTATGTTTTTGGGATGATATATGATATGTACCAGGTTACCCAATAATAAAAGACACCTGCTATATCTCAGCAACAGCTTCACCTAGAGCCATTCAGTAAAAAATTTCATAACAAAAGTGGCCAAGGGAAATTGCTGTAAATTATTTATAACTTCTTAAAATGGCCGCTAAGGGGAGAGTTTTCAATTTAAAAAATTCAAATTCCATCATTTTGCAAAAATACATACTGATTTAATAACTATTATGTTGATTGCTTGATTTTCGAATTTTTTTCTAATGTCATTTTTCCATATTTTGTTTCGTTTGGAGTGGGGGAAGGGTTGAATGTCAAACATAATATAATTTCTGGTTAGCTGCATTGATTTTCATGATCTTGGTTTCAGGAGCTTGCACTTGCGCTGCTACGCAAGGCTCAGTCTTGTCAAATTAGTTCAGTTTGTGGCCACTAGATAGCATTTCATAGATGTGTCACTGTTTCCTTTTAGGTAGTCACTAAAAGAAGCTGTCTGTTGGTCTGTCTGTCTAACTGTATGCTAATCCTTGGCCCTTCTATAACTTTGAAAGTACTGCTTGGAATCGGATGAAATTTTCATATAAGGTTACTACTATTCCTAGGACGACAAAGACTTGTAGGTTTTGAAAATCGGTCCAACGTAAGCGGAGAAAACTACACGAAACAAAATATGGAAAAATGACATTGAGAAAACAGTTTGAAAATGGAGCAATCAACATAATAGAGTTATAAATCAGTACGTTATTTACACATTTTTGCAAAATAAAGGCGTTTGTAAATAATTACCAGCAATTTCGCTTGGTCAGTTTTGTTAAGTCGTTGCTGAGATATAACCAGCATCCTTTATTATTGGGTCACCCAGTACATCACAAAAAATCATGTCACTTATTTCAATCAGTCTGTCCTTGACTCATCTATAACTGTTTGTAGATATTTTTTTTCTTGACGAAATTTTTTTACGCATATTTGTTGTATTGTAGGCTGTGTGAAGATAGCAGACTTTGGCCTCGCTCGTTGGTTTGGCGTTCCTCTGAAGCCAATGACACCATCAGTGGTGACACTTTGGTACCGAGCTCCAGAACTCCTTTTACAGGCCCCTACGCAAACCACAAGTGTCGATATGTGGGCTGCAGGTTGTATCCTAGGCGAGTTGTTAGGACATAAACCTTTGTTGCCTGGAAGGACTGAGATTCAACAGTTGGAACTCATTGTGGATCTTTTAGGTTTGTTGATTTATAAAAGATGTAAAACCTTGTATACCTACATCTGATCATGGTTTATTCTATTGAAATCTATGAATCAAATATTGTCGAAATTGTAACATACATAAATATAAATAGGTTTCTGAGTCAAAAATGAAAAAGTCTGGGTATGTCTTCAGAAAAAACACCAGTAGCGACGAAATTTTCAACAAAATTTAAAAATAGAGTGCTTATTTGGTTTTCGGCACTGGTATTACGTATCTTGAAAAGTGAAATCTTTTTTTTGACATTTTGTAGGTTTTTCGACAATATGTCAACTTGACCCTAGCTGTTGTGCACTTGTTGTGAACTCGTTTTGTAGCTGTACATGTTGCCTAAATGTCATGAGGCTTTAGCTATCAATTTTTGGCTCTGATGTGATGTAATATCTGCTTCAGAGATGGCATTATTGGAGATCTAAGCTGACAGCTTTATATAGGGTGGTGTAAGCCATATACAAGGAATTATACCCGGCTTTGACTGACATCTGACGATTTCGCCAAACACTAATATCTATAGTTGATACTCATCATCCTAGTTGGCGTAGTATAACTTATTTTTTCAAAAACTTGTATTGATGATTATTGCCAAAGACGCACTATCAGCGAGAAGTAATTTGATTTAAATAAATAGTACTCAGGTAATATCTGTGGTTGTATACCAAAGCTGGAATAAAACGGCACTGCATAGGCGCATAGTGATGATAATTCCATTGGTCTCTTGTCTCAAATAAAATACACTTACTTGAGATGTATTTATACAAAGCTAAAAATTATTTATGCATCCACTTTTTCTTATTAATTCTGGAAATTAAATATGCAAATTTGCTGAACTTTAAAAAGAAAATCTTTGGTTGGTGAAGTATATTACAAGTAACAGGTAAGAAAATATGCTACAGCCAGGAATCTCTATGAAACTTAAAAAGAAGGGAGAATAATATAATAATAGATAGCAGCGTATTCAGTAATACTTTTCTCACAGAGCAAATATCACTGATTTTATACACATGCAGACCAATACACATAATCATCCAGATGCGATCTTGTTATTCAACCAACTTTATTTCTTTCACATCTTAGAGATAAACACCACAGACTACTCAGATTCACAAAACATAAACTTACTTTCTGTAACCAACAATGCATTCAGTTGAATCATTCGTCCATAGATGGACGCTCACAGCGATCATAGCAAGCAAAGGTGGAATTAATTATTTGCACCCTAAAATCTGTCTAGTTTGTAAGACATTTCGTTGTTGTTTTGACGTTTTATAGGCGTTTTACATAATATCTGCGTCGATAAGTGCTTGACTACCGTGTAAACATAAAGCACACTGCTATAGTAAAAATGTCCGACTCGTTTAGAATGTTGTCAGTACATCAGCAGATCGAATCTAGGGCGTGGAATACCGATCACATGACCATCGTAATTTATAACTTTGAACATAACCTGTCTTCAGAAAGGACAACATATAAGTAACCCGTCGGGCACAGCTAATAGATATACTTCATTGGCAGTATATTCAGTAATAATTTTCTTACATAGCAAATATCACTGATTTTATACACATGCAGACCAATGCACATAATCATCCAAATGCGATTTTGCTTTCTTTCACGTCTTCTTAGAGAAGAACACTATAGACTACTCAGCTCCCTACAACAAACAATGCATGTCATTCCTCCATACATGGACGCTCACAGCGAGCAAAAGTGGAATGAACTACTTGCACACTAAAAACTACCTAGTCTGCAATTTTCTTAGGGTTTTTACATAATACCCTCGCGGGTCTTTATGCATATTCCATAAAACATGCAAACAGGGAAACATTAAAGAGGGAATAGAGAAATAATTACAGAATCAATCTACTTGACGCTATTTCTTACTTCCCCTCCCTACTAGCGAGGAAGTATTGTAATCGCGAAAACTTTCGAGAATGAGATGTTTTTTGGATGTTACATGGCATATGCATGACGAAAAACCATATCACTCATTTTCATTGGTCTGTCCGATAATCCTTGGAAAATTCCGATCGGATTTGGATGCAATTTTCACACAAGGTTATTATTATGCCAAGGACAAAAAAGCTTGTTTTTGAACGTCTGTACAGTGGCGACGGAGAAAAAGGCTAAAAACAAAAAATTGAAAATCGGCTTAACTTCGTTTTTTGACTGGTCTTTTACGGAAAAATTTTTGTTGGGGTAAATAATTGGGGGTTAGAGTTTGCAGGGGGTGCCCCACCCCCTGCAATATGATATGGTATACCTCAATTTTCTTTCCAACATTCACCTGTCGATACGTGCGACGACTTTCAACTGATGGTCGTACGTCGCAGTCGACAGTCGCTTCCGTGCTGCTGTGGAATCTATGTTGCAAAAGTCAATATCGTCATCCAAGCGGGATTAGTCATAGCAACGATCATGTGCGCCCGCAGGAATTTTATGTTATACATATGCTTAGCTAACTTTTTTTTTAGAAGGGCTAACTTGTGCCGAACATAATCCTTTACGAACTGATCACAGCTTTTGTGGGAAGTACAGTCATATGTGACGTATTTTTTTCTTACAGGTACTCCATCAGACGCAATATGGCCTGGTTTCAGCGAACTACCAGCTCTTCAGAACTACACATTGAAACAACAACCTTACAATAATTTGAAACAGAAATTCCCTTGGTTATCTGCTGCTGGTTTAAGACTGCTGAACTTCTTGTTCATGTACGATCCCAGAAAGAGAGCCACAGCTGAAGAATGCTTGCAGAGCAGTTACTTTAAGGAACCACCACAACGTAAGCAGAACAAAGATGACCATATTGAGCTTCAGCTAAAACTACAGGCTATCCTCAAAGTTGGGACTTTTCTTTTCAGAAACAACTGCGTATCAACTAAAGCTAATGCGTGCTAAAACAGCAGCAAAAATAAACCACTTCTCACTATTCATTTGATTAGAAATTCCAAATACTACCGTGTCATTTGTTTTGCTTGTGAATACGGTCGAATTGCGATTCAAAAACACAAGTTTATTTTCCTCATCATAAATATGCATCATTTGGGGCTGACTACGTTTTCTACCGTATCCATCTCGACCGCCTTTACTCAATGTAAACATACCTTCGCATTTCGGGACGGTAACATCTGAACGTCCGGAATACACTTGTGAAGGATCAGTAGAATCAGTAAGATACTGCAAACTATCATCAAATCGATAACTTTGTTATATTGCTATGGGAATGTGTCAAATTTGGTTTTTCAAATCTCATTGTAGGTAAGCTAGCTCAACCACAGCGCGCAGTACCTAATTTGGACGCTGACGCAAATTGCAATAACATGATTTTGTTAGTCTTGTAGAAGGAACGCGCTACCTCTTTTATTTCTGTACATAACTATCCGTGAAATTTACGATTTCCCACCTTCAAGTCACTGTTACAATACAATAACCTAAACATTTTCATTCGAAACATGTACATTTTACTTCCCTACCCTACGATCTAACTTACTATTGTACTCACCTCTGTACTGAATGTGTTCATGTTATAATAATCAAGACCACTTTGATATATGTAATACAAAATTATCTTACGTTAAGCTAACATGCAAAAATATAGTTTAGTTACATTTGTTTATCTGGTTGTATGCCCACCAAAAATTGATATATCTGTTGGTGGTGCATAAATGAATAAATCCTACCACAAAACATCGTACTTTCTGACGTAGGATGCGGCGTCGGGCTTGGCCCACTCCGTGTTTTTCGAAATTTAATATCTCTTGTTATTTTAAAGTTAGTTTATGTGTTTCTAGGAAAACTTGCTTATTATTCCCTGACCTATACGCTCTGTAAAGTCTCAACTTTAAGAACACCCTGTATATTGGGTGTTATTGTTTTAGGTCCAACCCCTACTGGTGGGGAAGTATTGTAATCGCAAAAATTTTTCGAAATTGAGTTGTTATATCACATGTACAGGTAGCCAACTAAGAATGCGAGTTACTGTATCTGGGAACCTATCCATCGTAGAGGCTTGCGACAAAAGCAGTTATTGCTAAAACGGCCAAGAGAAAAACCTGGAAACTATTTTAAAGTTTCTGAAATGGCCGCTAGGGGGCGTAACTGCAATTTTGAATCCAAAAAGTGATGTTTCTGTGAACTCTGCTATATTAACCTAACAAAAAATACATGATCTTCGAATTCCAGGATCATCTGAACCTTTTTTGTTTGACAGTTTTTGGTGTATCTCTAAAAATAAAGTGGTGGTGGTATTCAAAGGTTTCCGTAAAAACACCCTGTATCTTCGAAACGGCTCAGCCGATTTTCACAAACTTGGGCTAGTTAAAAAGAGCTACAAGTGTTATAATACTAGAGGGCTTTTTTCGACATTCCGACAGATATGGATAATTTTCTCAAAATTATGTCTAAACAAGCTCGCAAAAACCGCATCTCGAATTCTTGTTCCTAACCTAAAATTTAAACCAAAGAAAATGTTTTACAGAAATCCCTTAAATTTTTATATTTTTAAAATAATTTTTCTGGAATTTCTTTTTATTATTAAGTTGTGACCCTAAAAATGACCGATTTAAAAAAAAGGTTTTTAATGCTCCCGTAAATGCTCGAAATGCTGACCAACACGCTCTATGCATTACTGAATTCTCATAGGTAGACAAAACTGCAGCTTCAATTTCGGCTCTCAGTATGTTACGTATTACATTACGAATGGGGCTTTTCATATCTTCTCTGGTTGTAGGTTGAGCCTGAAACGCGATGTCCTTGAACCGTCCCCATTAATAAAAATCAAAACAAGTTAAGTCTGGTGATCGCGAAGGCCATGGAAACAGATTTCCTCTTCCAATCCACCGCTGTTGAAATACTGCATTAATCTGCTCTTGCACAAAAATAGCACAATGTACTGGGCAACCATCTTACTGCGAAAGCAAGTTTTGCCGTGTTTCTGTTGGCACATCTTCCAACATCAACGGTAATTGATATATAAAGACATTCACGTTTAGGGATTGCTCGAAAAAATATGGTCCAATAATTCTGCTTCCTTGTGCCACACCACACATTTAAACTCCAACGCTCTTGGTGCTAAACTTCACGCAACCAATGTGGATTTTCTGCAGATCAGTAATGCATATTGTGCAGATTGACTCCCCCGTCACTATTAAAGATGGCTTCATTGGTTCAAAGAATCTATATCTATAAAAATGAATCCCTATTTCCCGTGGTCATGCCATAACTTGAGAACAACTTAAGCGATTTCATTTATCTTTTTTTTAAGTTTCCAGTACTGTATCGAAGGTTCTTACGGAAAGAAAAATCAAGAAAATTGCGCAGAAAATTGGGAAATCATCGAAAACCCACAAAACATATACATTGAAAAAACTGAAAACCTAATGATTGTTTGAGCTACGCGCGTTTGACAGTTTGCTTGAGCATGGGGCACGCACAGCAGAAGAAATACATATCTCGAGTACTAAAAGAGACAGGCACTCCTCTCCGCCATCTTTATTCCAACAGCTATTGACAGTTAGCTAGGTGAGAGAAACCTTTAAAATATTTTCCAAGATTTTTTCTTGGCCGTTTTAGTCAGAACTTTTCTTGCCGCAAGCCTCTAGGATGGATAGGTTCTCAGATACAGTCCCTCGCATTCTTAGTTGGCCACCACGAAAAACCATGTCTAAAGGAAGCTTTACAGTTTTGAAAAATCGGTCCAATAGCAGCGGAGCTCAGTCACCTTCAACTAATTAATTTTATTAATATAATATAATATTTAATTAATTGCAGAAGGCTGTGAGCGGAGCTAGTTTCAAAAACACGAAAATCTCTCAAACTTGTTTTTTTGTTGTTGTTTTAGAGGCTCCTGATCATTTTCGGAAACTTATTTGAAAGTTGGAGGTTGCAGGGGGTGGGGGTTGTAAATGTTACGTCTTTAGTATCAGTTAAAGACGTTCTATTATTAGCAAGCTTCTTCAAAAATCCGATAAAATAGCTTGCAATCGTTGGCGTTGCGTACACGGCGCGATTTTGCATCCTCATAGAGGCCACTGCCGACTGTGCAATGGGTAACAAACTCCAACTGGTGAATCTGCGGTGGTGTCTTCAGCGACACACCGCTACAGGAGAAATATTTATATACTTTAGCAATATTTGAATATTAGGATTACGTACAGTGGCGCTCCCAGGATTTCAGCCTGGGAGGGGTAAAATGGAAAGTAAATTCTCAGCGTGACGTACTGAAGTGTTATAATGATTTAACATTAAAAGCATGGACATATGCAGACATATGAATTTGTTACAGTAATTTCTGTAGAAAATAAATACAATTTTTTTTAATTTTGAATCATATGAAATCAAAGTGTAAATAAAGCAATCTTCATATATTAAAACAAAAATGCAAAATAATATAATCTGTCACAGACTTTTCTACATATCAATGTCAGACAAAACAACAGAAAATACACCTTCATGATAAAAATAACAATAACAAATATGTTACGACCTCTATAAAGTATAAAACTGAATGTAAATCAAAATAAAATTCTTAATCATGAGAAAAACACAAAAAATATTCATTGCATAACTACATTCTCTTAGCAAGTCTCAAAAAACAAAAACATATAAACTATGAAACTACATCAGTTCACAGTCTCAAAATAAAACAATCATTACATTAGCTTAGAAAGTGAATTTGAACAGACTTTTATATCAATCTGCTGGCCAATAAATAAAACCACATATCTTGATCGGATACTTTGGAAAAGATCACCGTGGCAAAGTTCAGGATCAGGATCACCGATCTATGATTGTATTCACGTCTATTTTAATATCCCTATGCATATACAAAAGAGCTAAACCCACTTATCGCTCTTGTAACATAGTGGAGCACAGCCAAGTTTTTATCCTTTTTAGATGGGAGAAACTTCTTTCAGATGTCGCAATACTTACAGGCAATGAAATCAATAATTGAAGGCATCTATTAATTGAAGGAAAAATGTTTTCATCGCATGATGAAATATAGTGACATTCCACTGTCTATAATATCTTGTGTACGTATATTTAGAGATTGTTTCTAATATGTCCATTACTTCAGCTTCAGTTTTTGAGTTATATACTGACGCAAAAAAAATATTAAAATTGTATATATTCAAAGATTCTTCATTAAACCGGTATACCAAATCCTGTAATATATTATCTAGCAAAGGAACATATAGGTTTAGTCTGTAATGATTTTCCTTGTTAGATGTAACTATGTTCAGTCTGTTCATTTGCCTGCTTGTTATTCGTGGCATAGTCAGTTCAATACCCTGGGTTTCATGTGATTTCATTATAGATGCGAATAGTATTCTAAAGTGTTTTTCGGAATTTGCGCGTCTCTCTTGTACAACTGAAATAATATTTCCTATGAGTTTGACAGCGTATTGTTTGTCAATTGTTTTTGATTGTAAAATCTTACTCAGGTTGACTATTAAAGCTAATATATCACACAAACACTTTAGTGATACGATAAATTGGGTGGATGTAATGGCATCTTCAAACACTCCGCTTTTGAAGAAGCTTCGCGGTCTTTCCAATTTGATATAATATCTAATACCTCTACAATTTTCTCGAATTTGCTATCAGATTTGAGCACAGAAACGTGTCTCTCAGTCCATTGTGTTTCGCACATACTATGAATTTGATATCCGTCTAGTTTTCTTTTTAATACTGTATTTCTTTTAGCGGATGCTTTGAAGAACGCAATTACTTCCTTCATTATACCTACAGTATTTCTTACTGCTTGGACACTGCTGCTTTTTGAAATCGAAAGATTCAAGGCATGATTAGCGCATGGGCTTTTTAGAGCCTTTGGTAAACATTTTTGCAATTCCATTACAGCGCCCTTTTGTTCACCTAACATTAGGTTACACGTATCAGTACCAATGCTCACACATAGTTTTGAATCTAAGTTATTGGTTTTAATGAAATGCTTGACTGTTTGAGCAAGAATTTGACCTGTAAGTTTGGGCTCCATTGAATCTTCATCAAAATTTGAGTAGCAATCCACAAATTCTATGCAGTCCTCATAAATATGTTTTTAATAACAATACCGCAATACGATGGACACTTGTGATTTATGGCTAATGTCTGTAGTTTCGTCAAATGTAATACTGTAATACTGACTTTGCCTGACGCGACTTAAAACTATATCC